TTTTGCGTATATTGATTAGTTGTAAGCTTCCTTATGTGAAGTTCTTTTCATTTTCTAGTAATATAAAACAATAAATCTTTTTAAAAATTATGCATTTTTATTTACTAATTAATATCATTCTATAAACTATAATTTAGCATATGATTATGTTTTAATAATACTTGTCTAACTAGCAACTTTTTTAGATTTGATTCTATTAATTTTTGAATAGTACCTAGGTTATTATTAATTTATTACTTCCCAGTTATTATATTCTCTAAATATAATATCTCTATTCAATACTTGCATATAACTCTATTATTGTATGCAGCGATTAATAATAAATATAAAAATATATATACACAATCTAAAAAAGTTATAATTTCTCTATTAGATAATTTTTCATATAGCAAACTTTTAATAAGAATTTATTATATTATTCAAGCAATTAGCAAGCAAAATATATTTCATATTAAATTTATATTTTTTCTAATGAGCATAAGCTAAGTATTGTTATTTTTAAAAATTATCTTATACATTTTTTGCTCAAATCTTCCAATTACTAATCCACCTATATAACTTTACATCATTTTTAGCAGGATTGTCATCTAAATATAATTTTTTCGATAATGCCATATTTGTAAACTCTTTGGGATTCCAGTTACACTTTTTTTTAAGAAATAATGCTTTCAAAGATCTCTTTACCACCAAAGTGTCATTGTTTTCCTTTCTATTACCTAATACTTGTAGCTAAAAGCAATAAAGAAATAAATAAATAAATATACAAGTATTTAATAATTAAACAGTATTAGATAATAAACTTTAGTTTTAACAGAACCTCGACATTTATTTCAAACCCTTGTAGTATTATGATGGCAAATAGAATAAGAAATATTAATAGAACTCTTTGAAGAATCTAGATCATTATAAATATTATAATGTTCTACCCTTAGATTATCATTACTATCATAATCTTGAAAATACCAAACAGAATCAGTATGATTATTAGCCTATAATAGTATTGTCGAAAATTTCAGAATTTTTGATAGATTCATTGTTAACTATTTCATCTGACAATTTATTATGATTAGAAAATCGACTAGGCTTTCAACATTTTGCTCCATGATTTTTTGGCGATTCTACTATTATAGGAATTGGTATATTATTTGCCGAGTGAAAAGGATCTTTAGTAAATGTTTTTCGATCAACTGGGAAGAAAATATCATTACCAATGATATTAAAGAGCCACAGAATTTATTGATATGTTTCATCTTCAGTTCCATTATAAATTATATCATTTTTTCTTTCTAGAGCAATTGTATGCTCTTTATTTTTAAAATGCTTAACTAACTTTTGCTTAATTTCATTTATCTGTAATTTTTGACTTAATAATTCTATATATAGTCGTGCCGCATATACATGTTTGCACATATCTCGATAAGCACCATTCCAAATATAATCATAACAGGTACATTCTCCGGATAACATATTAATAAGATAACAATTTGATAGTATAGAGATGTTATCTCTGTTCACTAACTTAATAATCATAGTATCAATTTTTTTGGATATTTCTGGTAATATACCAACCAAATAGTAATTGTATAGTGAGTAAAATCTTTTATATCGCTTTTCAACAAATATATAATTATTATGTCCAATTACTAGTCTGATTAGATTAAGCAAAATATAGAGATGTCCTGATTTATTCGACGCTTAATATTAATTGGTTTTTTTGGTAATATTTGTTTATATTTAATTGTTCTCATATTTCAGTAAGTTGATAGATCTGTATTAAATGTTATTTCACCAAGTTCACTTTGAACTAGTGAACTTTGAAGAGCTTAAATGCCATATAATTGTTCAATAAAAATACAACTGTTTGTGTTCCACTACATTGTTTTTCTACAGTTTTATGCATTTATTTAGTAAGATTGTTTGTTGTTATCAGCTTTGCATTAGCTGGATCATATGCTTGGGGAGCTCACCCTCCATCAATAAAACACTGTCTTTATTCATCACAAATCCAGTTAGTGTTTAAGTCAGATACCAAAAGATTCTTTGTATTATAATTAAATGGCAAGGAATAAATAAATTGTTTATATTTCTTTCCCATTATATAAGCCTCTTTATCTAACTTACTTCGATCTACAATCTTAAAGGCTAATGCTATTGGATATCATAGTGATAAATTTACTTTTCACATTTGTAAATATTCACCTAATGTTGCCATGATATGAAATCAGCAAAGAATAGTACCGCAAATAAGACCTTGTAAAGCAAGTTTAGTAGGGCAGTGTTTGTCCATCATAGCTAACAAGTTTCAGAGTATAGTACATTCATGTTGATGCCAAAAGCCCTTTTCATTTTCTAAATTAACATATTGATATTGATGTATACAATTAGGATTATTATATAGAATGTTTGCTTGCACTGCTTGTATAGCCATTTTTATAGTATGATGATTTTTCTTGTCACTAAGACCAAATGCTAATGGAGACCCATATCCTGCCTGATCCTCAATAACAATTGAAAGAACTGGTGCTTTTTCATTATTTAAAACATACTTTCTACCTAATTCAAAACAGAAGTATCCACAATTACAACCTTGCTGAAGTTACAACTCATCGCTTACTGTTAGAGGAGTGACAAAAATCAGATGATTTTTTAGAGGGGAAGGAGAGTAAAAAAAGTTAAAATTATATATAAGAAACCTGACTATTTTTATATTAAGGGAAGAGGAGGGGAGTAGGCCTCTGATAAAAAATAATCAGGTGATTAATAACACAGCTTTTAATTGGTAATAATGTTTGGGACTATTTTCTGGAGCAGAAGCATCATAATACTGATAATAAAGTACTTTCCCTTGATTTTTTAGCTCATTGTTAATTAATTGGTCTAAAATAGTCCATAGGCTGGCATTATCACATAATCGGTTATCATCTCGCTTAACTAATCTTTTTAATTGTTGTTTATAACATAAATTTTTACTATTTTTATGTGTATAATTAAGCAGATTTTCATCTGAATTATTATATAGTGCCAATATTCTCATTGAAAGCTCTATTCCAATACTTCAATGTGCACAATGTGCAGCAATTGCTTCATCACGAGCTTCAAGACTAAGGTTAATTCTTTTTAATTTTTGTTCTGGTACTGCAGGTATGTATGGTGATCTATGTACTCCTTCAATAAACAATTGTATTGGCAAAGATTCTTCAACATTAGAAAGCATAACCTTCGTAATGACTCATACTGCATATTTATGTGTATTAAAATCATTCTTAAGATTGTTTTTTAAATTAAAGTTGGAACAGCTTTGTAGCTATTTACCAATTCCACTACAAGCTCTTTCGCAACTACTGTAAAAGAATCCATCGCCACATAGTTAAGTCTAGAGCTAGATTTTGCTTAATTTTAACCACCCATTTACGACCTTTATCAGTAAGTTCAATTATATTATCTAATCTATTTGTCGATTTACTTTGTCCTTGAGTAGTTTTCTATACGAAATAGTCTATAGCACCTTCAATGCGTTTTATAATAATAAGCTCTAATTTGATGTTTTCATTTACACATAACCTACTTTGTTTTCTAAGTTTACAGTTTTTTAATAATGGCAATATGTTGATATATGTCTTAACTGCATGACCAAAAGGTAGATTAATGCTTCCATTATCATTAACATGATATTGAGTAGAGAGGTGCCATACATTCATTTTAATTCAAGAGCCAAAACTAAAGCGAATGCCATAAGGTAAATACTACAGAATTCAGAAATGCCACTTTTAGTTGTTTAAGAACCGGAGTCACTATGCTGCTAAAAAATTAATAGTTGAGAAAGTGTCTATACTATTACAGTACTTTCAATATAAATAAGTAATATACTTTTTGTTTGTATAAATGTAAGCATAATATATATAAAGGTTGGGTCAAACCAACATCGTTCGAATAGAAGTACAACCAACAAACTATAAGAAAAAAAAATTGTTTCTTTTATACTCAACAAAATATGATGTCATATCTGCGATAAACTTAAATTAGAGTTAGTAAGTATGTAAAAGCCACAAATCTAGTAATTTCTGCAAGTGCTATTCATGGTGCTATTAAAACAGTGCTAGTGCCTTGGCACTGTTTGAATAGTACTATAAATAGCACTTGCAGGTCTCTAGCATGACAAGACTCTTTTTAAGAATCGATATGCATAATGATTTAATAGATCATTTAAATTCAGGTTGTGCAGTTTTTTTTGGGGTTATATTAAGAACAGTATAAGACCTTTATAAAAACTACATAATTTTATTTTATTTTTTATCCTATCAGGAATGGTATTGCAGATCTATCAAGAATAGTATTTTTGCAAAAAAAACCAGATTGGTGGGTAAGAAAAAAATTTAAAGGTTATAAATACCAATTACTAAATTTTGTATAGCTTTATATATTAGATAAAATTAATTTACTATATTTAAATTATTATTATATATTTAATTTATTGGTCCATTGGGATTGTAATTTTTCAATAGAACCAATGGGTTTGGTCAATGGACCAGAGGTCCATTGGGGCCAATGGACAAATGTGCCTAACTATATATCAATATATTATAGCATTGCACACTCTAATAGTTCATCCTTAACAATAAAATATAAATATATTATTTTAGTACTTTTGTTATTTTTTGTTAAAAAGCTTTTAAAAAATCAAAGTTGTTAAAAAGATCTATATTACATAAAAATACCTTTACAAATCAACGAAATGTTAATAAGATCTATTGTACCGCAAGTGGTATAAAATATAAAACGAAAGGCTATCTTTGTGAGCAAGATTCTTTTAATTTTGCTTTTTTTATCTCGTTTTAGCAATTTACTATGAAAATCGAATTTCTTATATTTCTTATATGAGCGTTGATCACTCAAATTTCATAGTAAAAAATTTATTCACCTGATCGACTGTTTAGATATTGTGGATAATCTCAATTTTTAACGTATCTTTTGTTATCTTTTATATCTTTTATATACCTATAATGTCACGTCGTCGTCAACAGAAGTCCTCTTCATCCTCAAACAATCAAAATCTATTGTATAAACAACAACAGAGTGATGATAAAATAACTTCAATAACTCATCTATGTACCCTTCCTCGTGCAACTTTCTTAATCATAACTCCAATTCTTATATCTGTTATTCTTCAAGTTGCTCCTAATTATGTTGAACCTATTTATGGTAATGTGTTTTCCACGATATATTTTAATGAAGTTGCTTTATCAAGTTTAGCCTTTGGAATTATAATTGGAATTGGATTTATTGCAAAAACAAAATCATTATCTCAAATAACTAGAGATAACGAAATAACAAGTGCATTAATATCTGGAATTGATTGGTGTGGAGTTTTGTTTGCTTTTGCTCCAATAATTGTCAGGGCATTATTTCATCTTAGCGGATTATTAGGGCCTTATTTAGGTCCACATATTACTCAATTTGGCTTGGCTTATCCGATAATGTTCTCGATTGGTTTTCTTAATGTTATGGCATGTGCAAGATTTTCCAGGGAACAACGTCGACCAATTTTTAGATGGATACTCTATGTAATAATACATTGCACTATCATCATAACTTTAATTTATGTTCTTTATAGTGTTATGACAAGAGGTAGATCTTGTCGTAGGTTGTATTTTTCTGGTTTATCGTTAGCACTTGTTGGGACTGTATTTAAACTTTTATGGTGTATTTACGGTGAATTAAGTTTGGAAGGAGATGCTAGTCAAAGGCGTAAAACTACTCTTAATGTTTCCTTACGTTCTCAATTACCTTTTATAACCATACAACTTTTACCACAAATTCTTATTATAATCATGATTATTTATAGTGCAAATTTTAATTCTCATTGTAATATCTCTATAATCCAGGTTCGTTCATGACTTAAAAATATTTTTATATTCTATTACAGTATAAATCTACTAAAATAGATTATTTTTTTCTAAAGAACACTGTAGTTAACAATGTAGAATATACTATCCTTGCACGCAATGAATCTATAACTGGTTGGATTGAAGTCGTGGAAGAAATAAAACCTCGTAACATTCGCGTATTACGCGCTGGGCACTCTTTGTTAGGGGGGGTGTTTAGAGAGACTCGAGATTCTATATATGGATGCTTCTATTTGATGGAGGGTAAGTAAGAATAAAATATTTATTAATACATATTCGATATGAAATCGTTTATTAATAAGTCATTATACTGTAATTACTTATTTTTAGCCGTCCGTCTAATTGAAAGGGGGGCTTCACGTGAACGTGAAAGAGCTTTACAGATGTAGGCTCTAAATTAAATCACTTCTTTATACACAATGCTATTAAATTTAATCAATTTTTAATTTTAATCTTAGCGGCTTGGGTATTGGTGTATTAACAGCATCACTACAAGCTCATAATGTTGAAATGGACGTGGTTGAACTTGATCCAGTGGTTTATGACTTTGCTGTAAATTATTTTGATCTGAAGCGTGAGCATAAAATATACCTTCAAGATGGTCGTAAATTCATTAATAATGCAGATGCTCGAATATATGATTATGTATTACATGATGTATTTACTGGAGGATCAGTACCATCAACTTTATTTTCTATTGAAGCGTTAGAACAAATTAAAAGAATACTTAAGAAAAACGGCATTTTAGCACTGGTATTTATTTTAGGAATAGAGAATCATTACGGCACATTTGTGAACTACCCCAGAATTTGAAAATTTTGATTACTAATATGTAAATATAGTTTTTGTGCGTCATTTAATAAATTTCTGTCTAATGAAATGCGTCGGGAATGGGAAGATGGGTTAGGCGTGTTATCGGTACAGATCAGTGTTGGGCAATATGGACATTTGGACTTATTAAAAATAATATGGACAAATACGGACATAGTAATTTATGGACATGGACATATAGGTAGTCCAAATTTTTTTAAAAATATGGACATATACCAAGTGCCAACACTGGTACAGATTATGTTGGTTAATTTATAATTTGGATAACTAAAATTTAAATTTGGGAACAAAATGCTTGAATTTGATGGCCAATTGCCTGCTTAATTTCGCAAATGCGCCGTAATGTAAAGATGAATTCGCTTTTAATGTTTACTCAAATCTTATTAAAATTTTTCTTGATCATTTTGGTCTAGAACTTTGTTAGTTCTGAACGATGGCCACATGCTGAAAGTTTTGCATTAGTAGCAAATACAATCACAACAGTTTTTCCATATGTAAAGTGCTTCAGAGAAGGTCCACAAGAAGGCTCCGTGCCTTTTCAAAACATGGTATGTGTTATAACATATTATGATTACTGGTGATGAAAATTTTTTTTGAAAGATTTTTATCCTTTTATAAAGGTTTTTTTTGCATCTTCAAATTATATAACCTTTAGCACAGCAACACAAACAGACTTTCTAGGTAGCGCAAGTAGGGAATATGTGCTTGGAAATTTTCTTAATTGGCAAATCAACTTAAATAAATATCGAAATGTCACAGGTGTTATTACTGATGAGCATAATCCTTTGGACAAATTGCAACGAATATCTGCATTTGAACACTGGAAAGTTATGAGAGAAGTATTTCCACAAGAGTTTTGGATCAATTTTTAGTGGTTGGAGGGTTGATACTATAAATTTTACTGGACTTATTACTAGTTAAAGTCTGGAAAGTCAGAGATTAATTAGTAAATTATCATGTCGCCTAATAGATATCCGATTGATACTACTAAAGAATGTCCATAAAGTATTCTAGGTATTTTATATTATATAAAATGTCTGGGCACTATGTTAAAAATGACATGTTAGAAGCTCTTTTTTTTTTAAATATAAAATTGAAATACCTTAAATTTTGGCTTTCATGTATTAATATCTTAGATATTATACATTCTAAGCTATTTGAAATGGTATTTTAAAGGGTGTTTTTTTAACGGTAATTTCATCATATCAGGATAGGATATATTTAATAATATCGATTTATATCAACATTTATGCAACATTAGTTTTGAGATTTTTAAATTATGTAAAAAAAAAAAAATTAGTTTATCTGTTATCATAGTTCTTTATATAATATTTAACATTGCTTTTAATGTCATAAAGAAACCGGTATTCTATAACGAACTGACAATTTTGGAAGAAAAAAAAGCTCGTTATTGAAAAATTGCCGTTTATTAAGAACCTATAGCGTTTTTTACTGTAAATAAAAGAAGTTTGTTGAATTAAATATTAAACTCGTATAAATAGTTTTTTTAAAAAAATTTTTCATTAACTGTTAAGAGTGCAACCTCGATGTATTGATTCTTATTTGTCAAATATTGTTACATTATTTAATTTTCGAAAGTCTATACAGAATCTTAATTTGCCATTTTTCTTCTTGACAAGAACAGGAGAGCTTTAGAGGCTTCAAAAATTATAACTCTCATCATTAGTTAAATGCAATAAAAAAACATTAATCCGAAATCAACTAGTTGTAGGTCTTCGCTGATATTGGTTTATTGTATCAAATGAAAGGTTATTGACGGAATAGTTGAACTTATTGCCATATGAGCAAAAAAGCTAAGAGATGATAAGTATTCGTTATTGTTTTCTCGATTTTCTTTTTATTTTTCATAAAACTTTTTGGTGCGGGAAGTAAAATAATAATTCGTTGATGCCGGAAATGAATAAACACTATTTGATCAATTTAAAATATTTTTCCGTTAAATAAATTTGCTTGAGAACGCCCTAATAAAATATACATGTTAAGTAATTTTCTTTTTTTCAATGTCTTAGCTAAAAGATTTATTTTATAAAAGAATAAGACAGATTATTTTCAAATTTACAAACGTCGTAAGTCGATTCGTAAATTGAAAGATGACGCGGAACACAAATGAATTAAATATTTTTGCAAAATTGAAAATTTTGATGAAATATTGAGTAATGTTTTAAAAGGTTTTTTTTTTTTTAATGACCTAGCTGAATATTGAACTTTAGTTAGTTTAAGTTATTTACTAAAATTAAACTGTAAATCTAATTCAATCTCCTTCAACTCTTTCCAATCCAGCAACAATTCCATCATTTCTAAGCAAATCAAGTTCCAATCTTACAGAATTAGTAACACAATCATTAATGCTAACTCAAAAATAACTCGCTCCTCCAACGCTCAACCTTTTCCCTTATTTTTTCTTGATCATATAATGTAATTCTTTCATGCTGGAATAATGCCAAACATCATATTATGGTATACACTTCTATGAATTTTTGCCATGCATTTAAATATATCCCTTGGCAATTGGGCATAATAAATTTTTATTGGGCTTTATTGGATATATGCCCAATTCCAATTAGGCATATGGGGTCTTTGCCTTGAAAATGACCTTACGGTACATGATACCGTGGTTGTCGCTTAATTTCCCGAAAGACATTCCTCGACAGGTCACTTACTCGACATCACATAGGGTTAGGGTTAGCATTCTATTAGTTGCAGGTATTTATTTTTAGCAATTTGTCACCCTGTGTGATGTTGAGTCGGGGAAATAGCTTTCGGGGAATTGTGCCATAATCGGTTCGTGGTTCGTAATTAAACTCCAGAGGCTTAGATAATATCGTCTGAAAGTTATGATGAAGAATAAGCCACTAAGCCACTATAAAATAAGGTAAATTATATTTAAGCCTCATTAGTCCTTTAAAGTTATAAAAAGGACAACGCTTATGTGCGAGGTAGGGTACATAAGCTCACTAACCCGATAATAATTTCCCTTTTATTATGTGACCCAAATCATCAATATTACACCCCGGTTTATAGCATAAAATCTATATTTTATAGTATAAAGTATTGATCTTATGATTTACCTCATAATAAGATAGAAAAATTCTATCAGCAAAAAGGTTGGTTTGATTGACTAGCTTGAGTTTTTTTAAGGTCAATCTGACTTGTGGTATTTTTTATCAGCCTGTATTATTAATTCAAGCTCTAATTCTAACTCTAAAACTGTTCTAAAGCTCTAATTCTGCTAAAATAACTTGCAAATTTTTGGTTGAAATAGTCAGCAAACAAATTATTGCAGTTATATATGCTCCAATTAAAAATAATATAGTGTTGAGGCAAGCTTATTAACCAATGATGAAGGATTTATTCTAAACATGAAATATGAAATCATTAATAATTATAGTTCTAATTCTGAATTGAAATAACTAAAATCAAATTAAAGCAGTAAAATATAATAATCCAACATTATTATTTCAAACTCCAGAACTATCTAAAGTCAAAGATTTCTCAAATTGCATTTGTTTATATTAACACAAGAATTTGAAAACTCATTTAACAAATTTTATTTTAATAAACAGAAAACCTTAGCAATTTTAATAATAATGATAGATTGCAACCATTTTATTTTTTTATACAGAATGTTTGTAAACACTATTAAAATTTTTTTATTTTTTATTTTTTACATATTAATTTTATAGAATTATAACTTTTTATAGATATTCTATATGAGAACATGGGGTTGATGAGAAATACTGCTTTAAAGAAATGTGAAGTTATATTGTAATCAATTCAATATCTAAAACAATATTAGATTTGCTAAATTAAAATCTATTAGCAATAGTATATATTTGTTTTTATCTTTAATACATAATTAACACATAATTAATATATATATATTGATTTTAATTTATCAAAGAATGTTCAAGGTTATTGGCTTCTAGTTTTAGAAAAGACTCTAATTTAAATAAGCCTAATTTTGGATTTTTTTAAAGATGGCTAAAACTATACAAGAAATTCTATATAAGAAAATTTTGTGGATTCTTTTATTGTTGATTGTAAAAAGTTTAAGTTGGGCTATTTTATTTTGGTTATAATTCAGAACAAAAGCTAAGAATTTAAGTAATTAAAAAGAATAAAGAACTTCTAAGTGACCAGAAGAGTTTATACAAGCAGCTATACAAAGTAGAGTTGTTTTTAATACAAACATATGTGATAGATTTTATTTATATAATTAAATTTTTTATTATTAATAGAAAAACAAATTCAGAAAAAATATTAATTCTGTAATGTGTTTAATCTTGTACTAAGAAAGAAGTTATAAAAGAAGGTTACTTGAAGGCATAGTAGGCAGTAAGAGAATAAAGTAGTTTTAATGCTTCTAATAAATTAAAATTAATGCTAGTTAATTGTTTTTATTTGTTACTGTTTTCAAATTAATATAACTTTGTAAATCCTATAAATCCTGTATATTTTCAATAGTAATTTGCAGAATTTATTTGTCATATTAATTTAAAAACAAAGATAAATGTCAAGTTTTTTAATTTTATCCTAAAATTCTATGCTTGTAAAAATTAGAACTGTTTAATCATATAAAGTTGCTCTATAATCACTAATTAGTTGATTAGTCGAAATGGGTTGGGAAGCAAAATTTAATTGGTAAAAAAATCAATTGTATTTAATATTTCAATGAATGATAATATGATAGTTTAATACATAGATAAAAATTTAATTAGCAAAAGACCATTTAGCTGAGCTAACATTCCAATTGACAAGAAATGGAGGTCAAACCATCCTTTTTTTTATTACAAAATTGTGCTGATTGGCTAAATTTTCATTGATAGATTATAAAAAATAACTGTGTCACACCCAAAAGTCTCTTTCCCGTAGACTCTTAAAGGACGGGGCCGGTATAGTATGAATACTATATCTATAGTGATATAGAAGATAAATGGTAAGGGTTTAAGTTAATTCTATGACTTATCAAAGATGATTGATATAAGGCTTATCAAAAGAGGCACAACTCGAATATATATGAAGATATATAAGATTGTATTCAATGCTTTACAACAATAATGTTAACAATAGACGTTCAAGTCACGTAGTCACGTGATAACGTTTAAAAGTATTTTATTAAGAAAATAAGAAAATTTAATGTGTATAAAGACACGGCTATTTTATCTAACCAATAAAATAATTAATACATATAAAGGAAGTAATAAAAAGGAATATTTCTATGTAAGAATTCTATACTAATCGAGTTCTATCTAAAAAGTAAGGCGAATATAAGGGCCTTTTATACATGTTTTGCGGGAAGTATCTATTTCTACTCCATTTTTTTTGTTGGTTCTTTTCTAATTTTAAACTAATACATCTTTAATTTCAACTTGCTTCTAAACGATCTATTTAATTAGTTTCGTTCATACTTCAGTGATGCGATATATTCTGCACCTTTACATCCATATTATCTTGCTGATCATGCACGTTTTATAGGCATGCATGACTGCGGCATCTGGGTACTAGAAGGACCTTGACTTTCTAATGTAACAATTTCTTCCCAACTAATGATGAGCTCCGCGCGTCAATATTCTATAATAATTTTTGGGTTGTAGATAATAACCACCAGCCATAAATGCACCATTGGCATCACCAGTATCAGCCGATAATACCAATCCAAATTTTGGCATATAAGGCCAATGACCCATAGCAATTGCTTTCAAAAGAGCAATTGTAGTAATTTTCTGCAATGCTTTTGAATTTGCTAATTTAATGCATCCACGTTAAATAGATCTTTCATAGTATCGTTTTAGGAAAAGAGCATTCCATGGTGTATTAAGAATTTGACCTTGTAATGTACATAATCGGTACATATCTTGTGCAACACGTTTATATATGATGAAAGGTCCAAGCCACCGCAGTAAGAATTTTCCAGTATGATGTCCAATTTGATCGGCGTCAAATAAAAGTACCTTTTCTCCATTCTGGAATATTCTAAGCACCTGTTTGAGCTTTTTGTTCTAGTAAAACTTTTGCCTATTTTGGGCTTTTCTAACATTATTTTTCGCGACTTCTCTTTTCTTAGGTAGGTCGTCAACGATCGTGGTTAATCGGTCGACCATATTTTCTTGTATATCATTTTCTTCTTGAAATTCAGAAACCGTGCTTCTCTTCCGTAGGTCAAGTAGAACGGAGTAAATTTAGTTGTGGACTGTTTACTAGTCCTATAGGTGTATAACACTGAGGGTATAAGGGTGTCCCATTCTCGATCTTGTTTGATCAATTTCACCAAGGACTCGCATAAGGTATGGTTGTATCTTTCTACCAACTCGTTGGTCTGTGGGTGGTATAGCATCAATAGCAAGTGTTTTATTTCAAAATTTCTTACTAAAAAGTGAATCACTTCGTTATTAAAATATAGGCCTCTATCTAATATTAGGTAAGATAGACATCCATGCCTACAAACGATTTCATCAAAGATGAATCGTACGGTCTGTTAAGCATCAGCGGCAGGTACTGCTTTTGCCTCTGGCCATTTGGTCATATAATCAACTGCTACAATAATGTATTTATTTCCATTTGCAGTTAGGTCTAGTGGTCCCACAAAATCAAGGCCAATTTTGTGAAATGGCGCTTCGACGGGTATGGATTGTAAGGGGCTGCGAATCCTATATTTTTCACATCTTTGGCATACATCGCAAGTCTTGATGTATTCTTTCACATGGTCATATATCTGAGGCCAATAGTATCTGGTTTTTATCTTGTCAAAGGTCTTCTCCGTGCCTAGATGAGCTTCTAATGGGTGCGTGTAGGTAATGTATAAAATTGATTCCACTTTATGTTGTTGTATTACTCTTAATAACTGATTTTTTGTTTGTTTTCTTCTATCTTTCTTATAGAGTAGATTATTATTTAAGATATAAAAGTAACTTTAGGCTTTTACTTGTTTCTTCTGGTGATTGTTGAATTCCGGTGGGTAACGCACTGTTTCCAAGTATTGCTTGATCTGTTGGTACTTGACTGGTTCCATTTTTTTTTTTTTTTTTTATATATAATATTGATTTTTTTTTTTTTTTTTTTTTTTTTCCGGTTATGGTATATCTTACTTCTATAATTTTCAGGAAGTTGTGTTGATGGTTGCAGTGATCGACTTGCAAAGTTTTTCGTCTTTTGTGAATGGATATTTGCGGTTTGAGTTGTACCTTTAAAGATACTTAACTGGATTGGTGGTCTTTCGCCAAATGGAGTTACAAAGATAAGTATTAGAGAAATTATTAAATTCTCTATAATAATATTCAGATGGTTTCTCTAATAGGTCTAACCACCAAGGTAAATTATTTAGATCTGTTAGAAATGGTATTGTGTTTCCTCTATTTTCATCAGTAAAGTCCAGCAATAAGTTTTTGCTAATGCTATCACTTCCCCATAATTCTATTGGGGTATCATTAATTAGATTGAAAGTGTTCTAGGTAAAATTACTTGTGAATTCTTCATCGCTCCACATATAGTCATTCTCATGATAATAGTTATCTGATTCATCATCGCTTGGAGTCGCCCAGTAACATTTGGCGATTTTATCAACCAGATATTTTTTTAGAGTAATCTATAATCTTAGGTCACTATGACATTTGCCACATTCGTCCATTGGTGAATACAACTTGTCTTCACACCAACATTGGCTGTTGGTCCTTTCCAGTCCCTAGTCAAATGTTTGCCTTTTGTCTTCTGTTTCAATTGATCACTAACGTGTTCGATGTAGTACTACGTACAGTGCTGTTGGTCGTAGTAAACTCCTTTTGAAGTGAACTCGACATTCTCATAAGAATGGAGATATTCTATTAAGCTCTTAGGTAAATTATAACTCAAGGTTTTCTTTATTATTTCTTTTCGGCTTTCTTTAATTGGCCTTTTATTAATCTGTTTCGACATTTTCAGTGCTTCTAATTCTTGTGAGGAGGCTTCGCTTTTATCATCAGTAGGTATGAATTGATTTCTCACAAATTTCACTGTGATTTGACTTTTCACAAATTTATTGTCTTCTATATTTAATATATACACTTCTCACTTTTCTTCTTTTTTATTAGTGTACATTCTTGACAGGGTGTCGGCGTTGCTATGTTTTCGGCCAGGGCGATGTATAATCTTAAAATTATACGGTTCCAGTCGCATAATCCACCTGGCACGTTTTTCTTTAAGTTCGGAAGTTCTTAACCACTGCAAGGCCGAGTGGTGGATGCGTCCATATGTAGGTAAAACGGCTTACTATAGTTGGGATACCTTAGGATCGGGCTGTTATCAAATGATTCTTTAAGGCTTGGAAGGCTTTATCTTGGTCTTCTGTCCAATGATAAGGCTCATTCTTGTTTAGCAATTTATTGAGAGATTTTGCTATTTTGGAGAATCCTTTGATAAATTTCCAGTAATACGACACAAGGCCTAAAAATGATCGTATTTGTCTTATATTAGTAGGTGTGGGAAATTCTTTTATTTTATCTAGTTTTTCCTTGTCCAGATAAATCTCTTGGTCACTAACTATATGACCTAAAAATTTGATTTTGTTTAGGAAAAATGAACATTTTTCCAGGTTGCATTTTAGGTTAGCCTCCCTGATTTTCGCGAAGACTTGCTGTAGATGTTCCACATGTTCTTGGAATGTCTTTGAGTAAATTACTATGTCATTTAGATACACAACAACAAATTTGTTAATGAATGGGTTAAGAATATCGTTCATTAACCTCTGAAAGGTTGAGGATGTGTTATATAAACCAAACGGCATTATGTTAAACACGTAAGTGTCAAACTTGGTAATAAATGCCATTTTCTTTTTGTCCTCCTCTTTAACGGCCATCTGCCAGTATCCACTGACCAAGTCCAAGCTAGTAAACCACTTGGCACCTTCGAATTCCGATAGGACTTCGTTTATCTTCGGTAAGAGGTATATGTCTTTTTCAGTAACCATATTTAACTTACGGTAATCGATACATATTCTTTTCTTGCCATTTTTCTTTGGCACTAGGACCACTGGGGCTCTTGATTGGAAATATGATGCCTTGTTTTTCCATGGCAAGAATTTCGTTCTTCAGAAATTCTTGTTCGTCACAGTCCACTGTATAAGGGTGTTGCTTTATGGATTTAGCACCCCCTGTCTCTATCTCATAGCATACTAAGTTGGTTTGTTCTAAACCAACTGTCTGCTTGCTTTTGCTGATTTTCTTTGCAAAAACTTTTGCATTCTTTATCAACAAGTCTTCAGCTTGTTGTAATTGTTGGTTATTGAGGTTTGGATTCACCTCAAATGCTCTTGTATCCTTTTTTTGTTCTTTTTGGATTGTTTTAGTTAGATAGATAACTGGATTGTCCTCTGTCCATGGGTTGTAGTATAAGTTTTCTTCCTCTTCAGAAGATATGTCGCTATAAAAGACTTGCTGAGCCTCTTCGTCTTGTTCCAGTTTATCTAGCCAGTCTTCTTCGTCTGTGAACTCTTCTAGTTCTTGATAGTAGCTGTTGTTACTAATATGGGTTGCATTTACTGTTACCTGCTTTCCCAGGTATTTCACATTAAGAGTGTTGTTATCAAAATCCAACTTAGCACGAGACTTATCAAACCAATCTGTTTCTAGAAGTAAGGTCTTTTTTTGGGAGTCGATTACCTGTAGGTCTATGGATATAAGTAAGTCTTGTAGCACTATTTTTACCTTACTAACAATACCCAAAGCTTTGGTCCTATTTCCATTAGCTGTTATAACAATAGTTTTAGAGGGTTTGTCTATTTCTAACTCTAACTCTTCCATTAATTTCCTGGTGATAATGCTAATGGTAGCACCAAAGTCTAGGATAGCTACAACAGGGTTCTTTTTGATACGAACATGGCACCTCATAGCTATAGTCTTCTGATTGTCTTCGGCATTAAGTAAGTTGGCTTCCATGTTTGGCGCCTTTTTGCGCCTAAATATCCTGGCCAAATTACGTTTTTGGTTGGGGTATTGTAATAGCTATCTTATTGTAGCCCATGCAGGCATAGATAGTAAGTCTTCCGCCACATCATATGGTTTGAGTTTGTCAATTACTGAAGGTAATTGTTTCTTTACGACCTTTTTTACCGGGGTGTTCTCGAACTCTATCAGGTCTTCTATATCTTGCACCGGGTCCGTAGGATTTTTAATTTGTAAGCTTTGTTCTTTTTGGGCCTTAAGTTGTCTTTGTTTTTCCTTTTGGTCTTTTCTATTGGTATTATAGGGCTGTGGCTAGTTTATATAAACCTCTTCCACCTCATCATCTGTTACTAGATCTATGAGATTAATATTTTTACTGTTACTATTATTACCTGATTTCTTTAGGATTTGAAATTGTGTGTCTTTCGCTTTTTCGACATACACTTATTCGCGAAGTGCCCAACTTTGCCGCACCTAAAACAAGTAACGTTTTTCTTTTAAGTGAACGAAGATAACTTAAATATATCCTTTTTTTCCACTTGAGCTAACAAGGCCGAAGCGATAGTAGCATAGTTGAGGCTCATCTGCTCTATTTGTTTCGTTAACTGTTCGATTTGTTTTTTGTAGTTTTGAGACCCAGAAGGTTGGCTTGGGTTTGCATTGTAGGCGAAGTTTGTCCTGTGCTCGTGATGCCTAGCTAACTCTAGGGTTGCCTGGGCCGTGGCAAGTTTATGCATCAAGATTATAGGCAACATATCTGACCTTAAACCCTTTTTGAAGTAGTAGAATTGATCGTCATTTGATAGAGCAGTATCAATTCCTACTCTATCTACCATTTTCCTGAAGCGACTATGGTAGGCATCTACTGATTCTTCCGGCAACTGTTTCAAGGCATTTATTTCTTGTCTCTAAATGTTTTTTCAACATTGGTTACAAAAGTATTTCTTGAACTCTTTCTTTGTGTTATCCCAGTCTGCTGCCGGGTTAGCGGATAGCTTATAGTCATAATAATGTGACAGCTGCCAATCATCCGCAGCGTCTTTTATAAAGACCGACAGAATCTGTCTCATTCTTTTTTCATTCCAGTTGTTAGCAGTGGCCACCTTCTCAAAGTTTTCTATCCAGGTTAGGGGGTCTTGGGAGCCATCTCCCTTAAAGAAATCAACTCTAATCAAAATACTTTCTTTTTGATTATCTTTTAAGTAATCAAGCACATCTTTGGCAGAAGTCATGTTTTCTGTATTAGGGCTTGTAGCAATAAGGGCGAATGGATCTGTTTTAAAACACTGGGTATGTAAGGCTACGTTTGTTATTACTTGGTGTATTTCTAGGAAATTTCCCAGGACTTGCGTGTATGTTATACTAAATATTAACTTTGTTATTGAATTTCAGCAACGTGAGGACTGTGGCTGCTGGTACGCATTTTTTAGTTCTTTAAAATAACTATACGTTTTCGACATATTTAGTTTTGCAAAATAAGTGGGGGTATACCAATTTGCAAATTGGTAAAAGGTTTGGGATATCTTTTTGGGAAGGGGATAACAAAGTTCACAGGAGTCTTGCTTAATATGAGAATGTAGGGTTAAATGATCGATCAGTTTTGTGTTCTTGGTTAAACTAAAATTCATGCACTAAATCCGTGCAGTTCTTTTTTTTTTTTTTTAACAATTCTTTTGTAGGAAATTCGATCTCATGATTTAAATGACTAGAGAGTTTAATCTCACAGTCACCACCAAAAATGTCACACCCAAAAGTCTCTTTCCTGTAGACTCTCAAAGGACAGGGCCGGTATAGTATGAATACTATATCTATAGTGATATGGAAAATAAATGGTAAGGGTTTAAGTCAATTCTATGACTTATCAAAGATAATTGATATAAGGCTTATTGAAAGAGGCACAACTCGAATATATATGAAGATATATAAGGTTGTATTCAATGCTTTACAACAATGGATGTTTAAGTCATGTGGTCATGTGATAACATTCAAAAGTATTTTATTAAGAAAATAAGAAAATTTAACATGTATGAAGACACGGCTATTTTATCTAACTGATAAAATAATTAATACATATAAAGGAAGTAATAAAAAGGAATATTTCTATGTGAGAATTCTATACTAATCGAGTTCTATCTAAAAAGTAAGGCGAAAGTAAGGGCCTTTTATACATGTTTTGCGGGAAGTATCTATTTCTACTCCATTCTTTTCATTGGTTCTTTTCTAATTTTAAACTAATACATCTTTAATTTCAACTTGCTTCTAAACGATCCATTTAATTAGTTTCGTTCATACTTCAGCGACGCGATGTATTCTGCGCCTTTACATCCACATTATCTTGCTGATCATGCACGTTTTATGGGCATGCATGACTGCGGCATCCGGGTACCGACTTTCTAATGTAACACCGTTCAGACAATTATCCTTTTTACCATTATCTGCGCTTATGCTAAAAACCTTCGCTACGAATAAAAAAGGCAAGAAGCTGAAATTTCATGAATAGTCATATATTTATTATACTCTGGTCTTTATTTTATGGTATACCAAGATACAAACATTCCATTCATTCTTCCTTCACAAGATGTAATGGTTCAACGTTAGTCAAAGCTAGAAGCGAAACCAAAAAATATTATATCAATATTTAAAAATTTCCACATTCAACATTTAGTTTATTTGTAGTAAAGGATTCAGAAAAAGTTGAGTCAGTTAGTTTTGTTGAGCAACATGTAAAAGTTGGCGAAGTCTGAAAAAGACGAAACAGAAGCTGGAGTTACTGACATGTGGTTTTTGGTCTTTCTTCGTCTTTTTTTTTTATTACAGTTTTGTAAAAGCAGTAATTTTAATAATTTTTTAATGATAACAACAAGATAGTAATAATAAAAGTATTTGCACAACCATCAATCGAAAATTATTGCAACTTGATCGTAAACATATTTGCATTGAGGGAGGTACGTGAGTCAATTACATTATCATTTGTTCTATTGATCTTTAACAAAGATCTAATTAAATTTTACCATGAGTATGCTACTTGAAAACACCCTAAGTCTCTACACTACATATCGAGTGCATTAATTTATTGGTTTTGATTAGCAATATTTAGCAATGTTCAGCACGTAGTCTACGGTTTAATTGAATAGTATGGTTGCGTATATCGTTACCTCAGATGATATCTGGCCAAAGTTAGAGTAAGAGATAGAAATATGAATGAGAATATAATTAACGCCGCCAATTAACGCAACATATTTTAATTTTAATATAAAGCCTGGTTCGGCTTTTTACCAGGCATGGGCCTTAATCGGTCCTGAAAATTAAAAATAATTCAAACCAACTTTATTACATTTTTTTTCAATTAAAAAAAAAAAAAAAAAGAGGAAAAAAACATCAATAAGTAATTGTGAAATGATATTATTATTTAATAAATAAACCAGAATAATAAGTATTAAAAATACTAATATATGAAGAAATAGCTGTACTAGAATTATTTGTGCGTGTTAATTGAACATTTTTACTATTACTATAAAATCAGATATTTTACTATCTGATTCTTTTTTTTTTTCTAATCTTAGCTAATCAGTGTCAACTACGAACCAGAACTTTTACATACGTAAGTGACTCAAGGGACGAAAAAAATGTGCAATGTCTTCTATGAACTGCGAGTCCATTAAGAAAATCCACTTACAATAAATTCACTTACAATATATGCTTGCAAAAAAAAAAAAAAAAAAAAAGCAAAAGAAAATTAAATTTAAGAAATTTGCACAATTGAAATAATCATGTTCCAGGAAGACATGTCAATAAAGATTATCAGCTCTAGGTCGTAATATCACTTGCGCTCTAGTAATCACCCTATCATAACTATAATTATCAATAATATCATTCATCATAATTGCTACAGCTGGAAATGCACAAATTTCAATATCACATTCCTCTGAATCCTCTAAACTTGCGATTTCATCCATAATTTCAACATCAAAAATTTCACCACCTTCATAAAAAAGAACTTCTGGAGGTAGTTTTTGAGTATGTATACGCAAATGAAATAAATTCATGATTTTATAAACTATATCCTTTGCTTTCGATTGTAATTGAATATTTTTTTCTTTCGATTCTATGGTTCTGTATCTATCCATTAATTCTAAGAGATCTTTAGCAATTTTTTGAATGAGTGGATGATCTTGATTGGTAAATCCTCTATTACTTAAAGCAGCGTAAATTTGTTGACGTATCTTTATTGGAAGAATACATGTATAGTCGTCATTTCCTCGGTTAACTTCAGAAAAACGACGAGTTAAGCTAATTAAATCTTTTGTTTTTTTTATAATTCCAACTTCAAGTAAATCATTCGGTAGATTTGAGTTTTCGTAGAATGAATTTCCATGTTGATCTTCAAAATAATTGAGTATTTCTTGATGAATAAATTCAAATGCATGTCTTTGTAAAACTGCACCAAGAATTAGTTTCATTTGTGGATCATCAGAAGTTATTGAACATTTGTATTTTTTAAACAGCTCATTAACAGCTTGGGTATGAATTTTTATTTTAGATATTTTAGATCCTTTTACACTAGTGAAAGTTGATAATTCATGTTGAAGATGATCAATTTCTTTCATTAACTGACTAGAATGATTAGGATCATCATCTTTCCATGAGAAATTCATGGCGTTCCCTAATGCAGCCTGATGTTTTGCAGCTTCCTCTCTTAAACGTTCGTTTTCTTGAAGCAAGTTATTTACTTCATCTTGTGATGATCTTCCAAAAGACAATTTACTTGATTGTTTCGTTTTCCATGAATTTTCTTTTTCACTTTTAAGTGCTTCAATTTCGTTGGTCAACTCTCTGTTTTTTTTCTCTAAAAACATCATCTGTTCTGATTTATCATTTTGTATATTTTGTATATTTTGTATATTTTGTATATTTTGTATATTTTGTACATTTTGTACACTTTGTAAATTCGGATAGCTTCCAGGCATAAACTTAGATTTAATATGGGTCATGCATTGATATGAAGAAATATAATTTGCATAATGTGCGTATTTCCAAGCTTGAATTCCATAAATACATATCAAACGTAATAGATGCCTTTGTGACGGATCCATGCGATATATATTTCCTATATCGAATTGGCTTAAGCTTGGCAAACTATGATTATCATGAAGATAATTAATAATTTCTTTCATCACTTTATTTTTTAATTCATCATTTTTTGAATTTATACTTTGAAAATAGTCTATAAAATACTTTCTAATGAAATCGCATCGTTCTTCGTATCCACCGTTACTCACTATATTTTCTATTTCATTTTGAATGATTGCCGATTCATAATTAAATTCATCAAGTGCATTATGAAAATCTGGATCATTATTCCATACGACAAAAAACAGACAAGCATAACCATCCCAATATTTTATACTTCCAAAAAATTTAAAAACTTTGCTATTAGGTTGTTCATAATATTTGCTATTAGGTTGTTCATAATATTTGCTATTGGGTTGTTTTAAATTAATTGGAGGCTTGCGCGCATTTGATCTTGTATATAATTTACTATTACGATGAGGAGCAAAATTCATTTTTTTTCAAATCAATTTTAAAAATAAAATTTATTTTTAAAAAACACTTTATAACGAAACACTTTCAAGTCACATTTTTTTTGTCATTGTAAATATATATGGTAAATATGTATACATTTGGAAATGCTGTGATCAATTTTTTAAATCGTGATAAATTCGATTTTGAGCTAATGCCTTTAAAGTAGTTATTTATCTACAAAATTAATCAAGATTAGTTCTTTTTTTTTTTAAACAAAAAAACAGAGATAGATCCTCCTTGGCACGTATTTCAATTTTTTTAAAATTATTATTATATAACTTGTAGATATCATATTCATGTACTGTGCATACGTACGTACATACGCATTTACGTAATGTAGCTCTTTAATTATCCCAATATCCTCAAAAATTGACATAATTGCTACCCGTACATCCATCATGTGCTTCTTTGAATGCCAAGAGAATTATTTTAATATAGGAATGAGGGACATCGCTGTCTCTATTACCATCGATTATTTTGGAAGGTTGATACATAGGGTGGGAACGATTTAATACTTGTGTATCACAAGGAATACGTAGTCTTGAAATACTAGTTTTCTTTAATCCTTATTGATATGCGCAGTCTAGTTTATCCGAAGAAAGGAATTTCTGATTTTTAATAAATACGTATCGGTATATAACGCCATGTAATCTAGTTTATCCCAGATTTTCCGGGTATGCAGGTCATGAAAATCATTTCGGGGTAAAAAAAAATTAAACCTATCGTGGCGCACTTACGAAAGATGTTGGGGATACAATTTTGCATATGACAAACATACCTAATTCTAAATAATTCTGGCGTATATCCGGAAAATTTTTTGTTACTATTTTATCCGATGAAAAAGATTACTTTTGGAAATTTCGAAAACTGGTATTTTTATATTTTTAATAAATAACGCCATATTGATAATGATGATGAGTAATCTAGTTTATCCGGTGAAAAGATAATTTTTGGAGATTGATTTCGTTTTTTTTTAAGGGTTTGACATACACGTATACGTATTAGTATGAATTTCTTTGAATCCGACGTATATTAACTTTTTTTATGCAATTAAAGCATATGCAGTAAAGCATTAACTCTAATAAATTTATTGCTTAATTTTCATGTCTAGAGCAACTAATTACTAAAATTACGTAAACTGCCAAAGAAGTCACATGCTCAGTTTACATTAAGACAATCAATTTGCTGAAGTCTTCTTGCTGTAAAACAGTTTCTAAATCAAATTGATAAATGCATTATGTAAAAATCAGACTACTTACTAATTAAATTATTGTCTATTAGATTGCTTGCCTGATAATAACGATCAATCTTATTCAAAGCTAACTCAAATTCTTGTTGGTTAGCCCAAGGTTCCCATTGATTAAACTCTTTAATGCTCAAAGAACTACTACTTGAATTATCATTTTTCTTTTTAACACTATATTTCTTACTATATCTGACAATAATTGTTGATGGTTCATCAGATTCAATTCCCCATGCATGTTGTACATTCTTCTTAAAAGAATGGTTTACACAATATCCATTTTTGTAGGTTGTATTCTTCTTATTGGTTTTCTTTTTATTTAGAGGATGGCTGGATATAGAATTTTTAATGATGAAATCATCAGATTTGAGATCCGGTTCATTTCTCTCATTGTGTTCTAAAAATTGCTGACTTTCCATATTAGGTATATCTTGTGTTCTATTGTGGTTGTAATTGGATCTCAAAGACATCTATAATTTAAATAAAGAATTTTATGAATACCATTCACTGCATACTGGAAATATAACCAATTTTTTTTAATCTTACCTGATTTTGCATATCAATTTTTTTCACTCTTCCTGCAAGTAAATGGTTTTTAACTTGATTAGGATTACCCTCGTTAATGTTATGATCAAAATAAATATGTGGTTGAAATTCAAGAGGAGGGATGTATTGATTTTCAAATCTATAAGATGGACCTATTTCAGATTCCTGTGCAAAAAATAGTACAGTCAAGACAAAATATCAACATGATCATTGGAATCTGTGAGGATCAGAAAGAATGATAAATAATAACGATAATATATTTTTCTTTTGTTTTTTTTACTTGATTTTTTAGTTCACCTTTAACTCTTTTAGGAAACGAAAACTCTTGCACATTTTCACATTTAGGATGTTTTCGTTCATTGGAAAAATTTTTTTGCATTCGAGTCCAAACTTTATTTTTATAACAAGGCCAAAGTACTTTATCACCTGTTTAATACACTGAATTAAAGATACCTACAATATTATAAATTAAAGCGATAAAATGATTTAAATTATATCTTACTTTGATTATTTTCATTAATCATGATGGATTTGTTTATGTTCCTATATTATAAGTAGATCGAGTTTGATAAATAACGTCAATTTTTCAAACACGTTTGTCTTTTTGGATCAAAAAAATTTTTACCGGTTTAATTGATTCTTATGTATCCATTTTGGTTCAAACATTTTTTTGCAGCGAAGAGACATGAAAATGTTTGAAAAAACTTTTAAATTTAATTTATTGTTAGATCAGTTGAAATTTTTGTTTATTTTTTGACATCACGCTGATTAAGAATTTACATCATGAAGATTTTCTGAGTTTGGACGCACGACCAAAACACCTTTTTTCACGTGATTTAAATAAGTCTCGCGTATATAAATGTGTATGTTCGTGACGAAATAGCAATTTTTTTTATTTAAATAATAAATAATATGTAACACTAAATAAATAAATAAATGACTAAATGAATTATTTTAAAAAAAAAATAAATTATTAAACTTTTGGTCGTACTGTTACTTGCGCTTTAGTAAATACCCTTTTTTCACATTCAATTACTATAGCTGGAAATGAGCAAATTTCAACTTCAAAATCTTTAACATCACCTAGCCAATTACCATCCATAAGTTCAATATCAATAGGATCACCACTTTCATAAAACCGAATATTAGGTATCGGTTCTTGAGTATTTAATCGAAAGCAAAATATATTTAAAACTTGGTGAATTATCGATGTTGCTTTTACAACAATTTGTTTATTTTTATCTTTGGATTCTATTTTTCTGTAACGTTCCATTTCTTTTATAAGATTTTCAAGCGTTTGTTGAATAAGTGTATGATCTTTTTGATTGTTAAATCCTCTATTAGAAAGTGCTGCATATATTTGTTGACGTATTTTTATTGGAAGAACACGAGTAAGTTCATCATTTCCTGGATTAACTTCTGAAAACCGGGTTATCATTGGAACTAATTCTGCTGTTCTAGAACAAATGCCCGCCTCAAGTTGGTCATCTTCTAAATTTGTATTTGTAGTTCGAACTTGTCTCGTAAAACTTTCCGAGATATCATATATAAAATCAAGAACATGTCTTTGTAGGACAGCAGCTAAAACAACTTTCATTGCTTTATCTTCAAATTTTGTTGTACATTTGTATTTTTTAAAGAGTTCAGAAGCTGCTTCTTGATTGATCTGTGTCCCTTTGACTCCGGTAAAGGATTGTAGGTCACGCTGAAGTTTTTCAATATCTTTAATTACTTGCATAGAGTTATTAGGATCGTCATCACTCCATCTAATATTCACGACATTACCCAATGCTGCTTGGTGTCTTGCTGCTTCGAATTTCAATTTTCTGTTTTCGTCTAAAAGTTTTGCTGTCTCGTTATTTACATTGGATGTTTTATTGTAAGACTTTTCGATTTGACGACTGGATTGTTTAGATCCATCATACTCTGCTGATCCTGTTATAAGTTCGTCTAAAGGTTGCTGAATTCGACTATCTCTGTAATGATTAATATAATTTGCGAAATCCGAGAATGATGTAAGTCTATTAATGCAAATTTCACGTAATGTTAATCTTTGTTGAAAAGTCAAACTTTGTAATTGATTGAGAAATTCTTTAGGATTATTTATGGAATGAATACGAAGCTCCTCTCCAATCCTGTTAATCAATCGACTCATTTTTTCTCCTTCACGAAATAATCGTAAATTTTTGTATTCGTTGAGAATTTCTTTAGTTAACTCAAGCTTACTCGGACTAGCACCGCCATTTTTGTCTATTTCTTCGATTAATCTTTGAATTTCTGCTAATTGATCCAAAACTATAGCGGTTCTTAAGTCCTTAGGGTTAGGTTGGTAATCGATGTTGCAAACCATTATGAATAAAAGGGGATAACCATTCCATTTTGGTATTGACCCAAAAATTCTAAAAAGTTTAAATAAATCGTCATTAAGACGGGGAGGAGGAGGAGGAGGAGTACTTTTAAAGAATCCTCCTCCATAATAATAATTAAAACGGCTCATCTTAAAAATGACTGCAAAAAAAAAAAAAAAAATGATATGGATCTATTATCTTTATATACCGATACGCACAACCTCAGATGTTCGGCAAATCATCCGCCTACCGCAGTTAACTTTAAATTTTGGCTATCTTTGTCATTGTTCACTTTTTTGTCGTGAGAATTTTTAAACAGCTTACCAACCATAGATAACGATAGCGATAGATCATCAAAATATTTAATCAGGAGTTGATATAATTGAACGCAGTCTCCGGTGAAACCATATAATGAAAGAAAGTTGAAAACGTTCTCCGGTTAAACCATATAAAGTTCTATCAATGAAAGTTGAAAACCATGAATAAAAAACGGGATTAAAATCAAATCTTTTAGTGTTAATACTCGTTGTACGACTCTTTCGATACATCACAAAATTTCAGATATAAATTTAAGCCACTGCCTTTTCCTAAATTTTTCACTGTCAAAATTAAATTATCATGAGTCGTTATCAAAGATACTCTCAATCATCTTTCAAATATAATCCTCAATACAATTCCCAATACAATTCCCAAAATAATTCCCAATATAATTCCCAATATAATTCTTCGTATAATTCTTCGTATAATTCTTCATATAATTCTCCATCGGAGGATATAAGAGCTGTTGTTGCGATCGGTATTTGATTCAATATTTTTTTTTTAGATTTATAAATTAAAAGCGACATTTAAGCTGATCATCTCTATTTATGAAATAAAGATTTTGGGACAACATTTAGCGGTTTCGCCTATGCCCATAAAATTTCTCCCAATGAAATAGAAATAAATACTCGATGGTAATATTAAAAAAGTCATAACATTTGTTACAGATAAATCATAATTACCGTTGATTTATTGTTAAAACAATTAAAAAAAATATATTATTTCTCAAATTTTAGGTCCGGAAGAGAAGGACTTCCAAAAACCAATACCGTGTTACTATATGATAGTAGTTGTAGAGAAGTATTAAAATGGGGTGAACCCGCATTACTCCATGAACAAAGAAGAATCCGAAATAGTTCTAGGGAATTATTAAGCTTAACACATCCACCACAAAACCACATGGTTGAAAAATTTAAGTTGTATCTAGATGATAGTAGCAGTGAAAAACCATGGTTGCCTGATGGTTTAAGTTTTAAAAAGGCTATAGTTGATTATTTAAAAAAGATGAGAGAAGTGAGTATTTATAAGTTTAATATAAATTTATTTTTTGAATATTAATCACTTTTATGATTAAATACTGTAGATTATAGAGGATACACTAGATAAAAGATGGCCAGGTTTGAATTTAAACCAAGTACTATATGTATTATGTGTTCCTGCGGAATGGGTAAGTTTTTAATTTACCAAAACGTTCAGAAAGCAAGCACTCATTTAAAAACACTCAAATCTTTTTTTTTTTCTACTAGGGACCGCATACGAAAGCAATAATGCGCGACTGCACATATAAAGCTGGATTGTACTGTAATTAAATAATTTTCATCGTATAGTGCAGACAACCTAGTCACAACAAATAAATTGAATTGCTAATCCTTTTTCAAAAAAAATACTATCTTGAAATGTCAAATCAAGACTAGCTAAACACTTCCATGTTTTTAAATTTTTAATAAAAAAGTATAGCAAGTTAAAGTTATTGTCTGGAGCGTAGCGGAGGGATAAGTAAGGTGATATCAAAGTTACGTTTTTGATTCATTCAAATTTCCGCACAATTCAAATTAGGAAGAATCAAAAAACGTAACTTTTGAAAAGGATGTCTGTCCGCACACGTAATCCAGACCAATAATACTACACACCTAGTAATATTTTTATAATTAAATATAAAATTTGGCCACCTTTTAAATATATATAAAAAAAAGCAAATTTGGCCATTAACTTAATTTTTATATATATTAAAATTTGAAATTTAGTCACTTTATATATAAAACTAGCTAAATTTTCAAATTGGCCTCTTCATATATATATGGCATCTAAAAAGTTTTATTTGCTGTGACTAGGTTGTTTGCACTGTAGTCGAAATTTTTAATTAATAAATATCTAACATGCTGTCTTACAATTAATTACAGATTAGAAGAGAGTCTATACTCTCATTTAGAATTTACCACTGAACGTAATTATTTTTCTTTTTTGTACTAATTTTGGCATCTTGATTAACACTGATGCATTTACCTGAATTCTCGTTATTTCATAATAACAGCCGAAGCTGCTGCCCTACATTGTCTATCAGCTATCGAAGAACATAGATTAGCAGTAGGTGGTTAGTATTCAAAATAGCATTTATATTTGCAAATTAATAATAATAAGTATAATTTCTTAAAATAATTAAATGATAGAAAAGACTTGTTAAGCTGAAATCATTTAACAAATTTTTGACAATAATTCATTAATTTTAATATTTTTGAATATGATTATTGTAGATACGTTTCTTGTTGTTGATTGCGGAGGAGGTACCGTCGATCTCACAATGAGGACACTCCAAAAGGGAAATAAACTAAAAGAAGAGACCGAAAGAACAGGCGATTTATGCGGTAGCACCTTTGTGGATCAAGCATTCATAAACTTCATGGGCCGCACAGTAGGCTTTACCGCTTTAGACGAGCTAAGAAGATACGCCCATAGTGACTTACAAAAACTAGTTCATAGATTTTTTTGTCAGACGGTTAAGCTTCCATTCTCTGGAGATCCTTTTGAATTTGAAACTATAGACTTGGATCTCGAAAAACAATGTCCATCATTAAAAACATATATCACTGGAGCGGAAAGAACTAAATTAGAAGATAGTGAATGGGTTATTGAATTAGATTTTGATGATGTAAAAGAAATGTTTGATCCGACGATTGAAAAAATCCTCAAATTGATTACTAAACAGTTGTTAGATCTTCCTAACAGGCGTAAATGTAAAGCTATGTTTTTAGTTGGCGGATTTAGTGAATCACCATATTTGATAAAAAGAGTAAGAGAGAAATTTCAAGGGCGTGTACCTATTATTGCATTCCCTCGAAAACCCATTGCAGCGGTGCTTAAAGGGGCAGTTAAATATGGACTGGACATGGGCCTTGTCGAAACTCGAGTCCTAAAATGGAATTATGGAGTAGAAATAAAGGCAAAATTTGAGCGCAATGATCCACCTAGACTTCGGTAAGTTATGTTCTGTTTTGTAAATAAATAATAATTCATAAATTTATACAGTAATAATTAATGTCAATTATACTGTAATGATATTTTAGAACATATGACAACAAAATTTGGAAGTTTGATAGTTTGGCGGCTCGTGGAACACGCGTTTCTGTCGATAAAACTTTTTCTAAAGAGTACCTACCTTTAAGTGCTGATCAGACAACAGCGGTATTTCAAATATACATAACTAAAGAACGAAACCCAAAATACATTAAAGATGCTGGAATGCGTAAGCTTGGGACCCTAAAAATCAATTTATCAAATATTCCATCACGAGGGCGAGACCGTCCAGTGGAATTTGCATTAACTTTTGGCACGATGGAGATCACAGCTACGGCTAGAAATACGTTAACGAACGAAATATATGATACTAAATTCGAATGGGATGTTCAAAAATAATATACATATATTATATATAGTATGTTTTTATTATGCTATTATGTGATTAAAGTTAGGGATTGAAGGAAAGTTTGTTGAGCGCTGTGTATTTTTATTTAGCGCGAGATGTTGTTTTAGTAAACCAGAATTTTTATAATATTTTTCATGTTATTTTTTCATTCACAAACTGTTAAAGTATAAGGCAATTAATATTCATGATAAAACATTCATTTATTTCTTGCTACAATTTTTCATTCAGAAATAAAGTATATTTTTATAACCAAACTATAATAGCCAATTATCATCAATTAGAAATTGAGACAACTTACCAACTATCAAATTAGTAATTTTTATAAAATAAAATATACTGTATATATATTCTTTAATACTGAAAAAAACAAATAAAGTCACTTTTTCTTACAGTATGTCTTTAAATATGATCAGAAATTTATAATTTACAGGATTGTAACCTTCAGAATCACAAAACTAAGATTTACTTATTATCGATATCATTAATCTTTCAGAATATTCTAACATGTAAGTTATATATTCTTTTAAGGTAGGAACTCGCATAACATTCTTTTGTTATGGAATGAATATTTACTATGGACAAACATAGGCAAATCCTATAATCATCTGCGCGTTATTAGAGTACGCGAATGGCGTTATTTTGAGGCAAATATAAAAATTTCCCGAACCTAATTTTTTAATGTGAGTTATAGATACAATTTTTAACCAGTTCAAATATTTTAAAAATTTTTTAGCAAAAAATCGTTTAATCATGTCTAGTTGTTTAATCCGACAAACCAAATTTCATGATATTAATCGTTACATGGCCAATATCTTATAATTAAAATTCTCTTACATCAGGAAATTTTGAAAACTGATTGTAGTCGATTAAAATCATTAGATTTTAATCGATTATTATCATCCCCACTGATTACACGCGATAAAGATTTATTGATTATAATAAAACTAATCGATTATAATCTATTTAATTTAATCGCTTTTAATCATAATCGACTATTATCGATTTCGATTTCCCAACTGCTTGCAACCGATCATATAATCAGGTTTTGAATTTTCCTGATGTATATACTGTATATCAAATTTAATATGTCTCATTAATATCACTATCAACATGAATATAGAAGTGATCCAAATGGGTTAAAATTACCGTTTTTCGGAATTATAATAAAAACTAAAGTAACCTTGATTGGCAGGATTTTGAACTTCAGAATTATGCCTTTCAAATTGTACTTGTGAATCATGAAAAGTAATAATCGGCCATAATAAGCAATAATTCATAACAATATGTAAGAATAGGTAACAATTAAAAATTGATATTGCTTACCTAAAATTAAATTGCCCATCTCTATAATAGTTTCGGAATTTTAATGATAATAATGAAGTGAATTACAGGAGCGACCGTCGATGTTACACGACTGATTTTTCACACGGTGTGAAAAATCAGTCGTGTAACATCGACGGTCGCTCCTGTATTACTGAAGAGGTGTCCGTGTACAAAATTGATCATCTGATTGGATGATCGTTTTTTTGCTAATATAATGATTGATGCTCATGATTTGTGCACCGTATGATCAGTCATCCAATAGTAATAGGTCATGATCGTGACCGATACTTTACCGAATGTAGTCCTTAAGTCGGGAGAGCGATACGTATTATCTTTGGGTGTTACATAAGGTATGCGGGCGGGTGCCTTATTTAGAGATCCGGTATAATGTTGATTGTTAAAGAGAGTACTGTAGTTTGGTTTGCATTGAGATATTCATGCATTCTATCATGAGTTATATACTATAAATAATTTTATTACAGAAGTTATTTGCTATTTTAGTATTAAGGTGAGTTAATCTTTGCATTAAAATTGTCGTAATTTCTTTCATAAAAAAATTTGTTATGGAACTTACTCACTATTTTGGTGACCACAAATAATGATGAATTAGCTTGTATTGAATTAACATGATTTATTCATGAGTTACTAAAAGAGCTATTAGAGGACTTACTTTTTATTCTGATTAAGACATGTTATATTGGAATTACCATGTTTTCTATCACGAATTAATATACCATATAGTTCTAAAATTAAGCACACTTTTAGTTATAAGTGGTGCTTATTTTCGGATATAATTTTAAGAATAAATAATATAGAATTTTTGTACTAAGTAAACTTACCTTCTGTTTCTAAGTAAAATTGTTCCCCAGGTCAAGACGATTCTAATGGCAGTAAATCATAAATATTTGCTTTACATGCTCTGCATACTCGTAAACAAAAGTTGCCGAACTTTGAAGAGCAATTGTGAGAGTTCTACTGAACTAATTTTGATGATTTTTTTTTTTTTTACTGTCATTAGAATCGTCTTGACTTGGAAAATAACTTTACTTAGAGACAGAAGTAGACTTGTTTAGTAAAAAATAAGATACTATTATATATAAGGGGTGCTTATTTTTCAGATATTACATGGTGCTTGATATAGTTGTTAGACGAAATCTTGAGGTTTCGCGCTGACGAAAGTTAAAACCTAGTTTTGACTTTCGTCAATTAAAATCTCAAATGACGAAATGTCGAAAGGTGTCGAAACTGGCTAAAGGTGCCAAAACTGGCAAAAGGTGATAAAAGGTAAAGAAACTAACGAAACTACGAAAGTGACAGAACTAATAGAAGATGTTGAAGCAGATAAATGTTATTGAAGATGATATGAAATTATGAAAACATAAATTTATAATAATTACTAAAACTTTATTATATAATAAACAAGTGTAAGGGCACCTTGGCTTTCTACATTTTATGTTTATAAAGGGCTATATATTTATGCTTAGAATAGTTTTAATAAGAAGCCTAATAAGCAACTTAATAAAAAGGGATTTATCAATTAAGTAAATTAGCACAAATAAGTAATTAATAATAAACAGATTATTTTACATATTTCAGTGTTTTGATTAAAAAAATAATTATTGTATATTGGCTAAATTGACTTGAATAAAAAACAAATTAGTGCGGATAATAAATTAATAAGAGGTGCATGCATTGTTTTCAGATCTTTGATTATAATTATTGTTATACTTGCCAGTTAAATTAATCTAAATAAAAAACTTAATAAAAAGAGATCCGTATTATTTCACTGACAATCACTTCATAGATACCATATTTCATGACAATTATTCATTGACAAGTTCATTTTACCGACAGTCTATTTTACTGAAGCTCTTTCATAACAAGACTTTTTGAAATGAGCTTCAGTGAAATAGGCTGTCAGTAAAATGAGCTTGTTAGTGGTGAAATATGGTGTCTATGAGATGATTGTAAGTGAATTGATTGGATCTCAACAAAAAGTGGCCTATCAGGAAATTAATAAAAAACATGAAATATAATAATTTGTTAGGTATTAGCTTTATATTTTAGATTATACTTACAAATTAAATTTAAAACTTTAAAATATTTTAATATTGAATAAAAAAATATATATATTTATAAATAAAAAAAGAAAAATACTAGAATATTTATACATATAATTTAATTCTCTATATTTATACTTATTTAAATATTTGAGAGGTGTCAATGGCTTATTTGCCCATTTATAATTTCTGTTTTTAAAAACTAAATATACAAGCCATGTCAAGTCAATAAACAGCTTCAGCATTAAATATAAATAAAAGAAAGCCTCAATAGATTTTCATAAATTTTTTTTTAGCGGGAGCACCAGAATTTGTTAAGAGTTTGGTGATAACAGATTTTTTTTAGTAATTTTTTTTTTTTTTAGCAGGAGTACTAGGGTTTTGTCAAGTTAAGTTGGGGTTTCGACTTTCGTCAGAAGGATTTGAGGGTTTCGCCTTTTGTCAGAAGAGTTTGAGGTTTCGACTTTCGACAGAGGTTTGTCATTTAGAGCTCAGGTTTCAACTTTCGTCATCAAGCAAAAATTGTTTCATCTAACAACTATAGCTATTGCTACAAATTATTTATAAAAAATTGTTAAGGACGAATAGCTGGAGACAAAGTTCTATGAATCAAAATTTCAGATGCTAAACTTTTAAATGCTAAAATTTTAGGCAATTAGGTAATCTCCTTTTTTTCGGAACCATTGAGGTAATCGGTTGAAAATATAAGAGCCCAAGCATTGGTCCGTTTAATAACAGGAAGAACCGTAAATGATTCCAGTATGTTTGTATCGTGAATTTCGGCTAATCGGCCAATAAGATTGCAAAAAAAAAAAAAAAAAAAGTTGAGAGATTCACGGAAATTCAAAGAATAACTAATAAAGCGAGGTGAAGCATTAATTCATCCGCTATTTACTCATGCTTCATGGAAAGTTAAATATCCAGACTTTCTAATAGGAATATTGCAAAAACGTATAAAAAATTGATTATCAATTGAGTACATTTGTGTGCAATAACGCGATTTGAAATTTGGCCTAAATTAAGCTTAATTCGGGTCATTATTCAAAATAATGCCCATGGGCGTACGTTGTAAAAGGGTAAATCGTGACTTGGAATAAATTTTTTCGCACATAGTAGATCAGATGCATATTAGGTTTA